TGAAAATGTGGATCATTATTTCAATATGAAAATATGATAAATAAATACATCATTGTTCGATCAAATTAACTTTTGTCCACTTTCACAAAATAAACCTTCATAAATTTGTCAATATTTTTTTTTTCAAAGATTATTTTTCAGAATCTGTATGTAGCATAGCGAAATTGATTTCTATTTGGCAGTATATCTGGGAAAATTTTTAAAAAAATGCAAAAGAAAATTTTGACAAGTAAAATTTTGGCATTAATAGAGTGACGCACAACATTGTTGTCAAATATGTGGTTAGTCTCTTAGCCTATTCACCCTAGCAGCACCACACTCTCTCCCACTAAAATTGTTGTGCAATCTATTTTTAGCTCCGCTGTCAAAATTGTCGAGCAGAGCTTATCATATGAGTGATTGTCTGTCGTCGTCCATCGTCTGTCATCCGTCGTTCGTGTCAATGTTTTACTTTTTCGATTTCTTCTTGAAAACTACAAGCCTGAATGCTTTGATACTTGGTGTATATGTACCTTGGGTAGACCTCTCTCAGATTTGTTCATTTCATGATCATACCTTCAATTCTCTAATTTGGGTGAATATTTTTGTCATTTTTGATAAAAAGTGATATTTTCGACTTCTTCTTAAAAACCACATTTATGGTGAAAAATGATATTTTTGAATTCTTGTTGAAAACAGCAAGTCCCATTGCATTAATACTATGCATATTGTTCATTTTCTAATGATATCTTCTGTTTTTTAATTGAAATGTGCATTGCTAACAGCGGAGCTATCTCAGCCAAGAGGCTGCTTGTTTTTTAATTTGAGTGTATATTTATTGATTTCTTTATCAATTTTGGAACAAATAGGCATAATTTTTTCCTGCCTACAGCTTTTGATCAATTTTTTTTCAAAATTATGTTATCTTTTGTGAAAAATAGCAAAAAGTGGCTTTAAAGCATTCATGTGTTAAAATGTCGACTCAATAAAAGTTGTGACTCTACCTCCTATTGTGAGCTGTGCTACACCAGTATCCACAGCATATTGATTGGATCCGGTACAAATATACGTCCCAGTATCCTCAGGTCTGATATTACGAATTGTCAGTCTACCCATAAAATCATCAGCATTTGGAGGAAGATTATCACCTTTTTTGGTCCAAGCTAATATGTATGACACCTTAAAAGACATTTTGAAATAAATACATTATTACTACAGTACCAATCTACAGATAGTACAACTGAGAACAAAATAATGTGTTGATTACTGAGACAATCTTCAGATAATACAACTGAGGACAAAATGCTGTGTTGATTACTGAATCAATCTTCAGATAATACAACTAAGAACAAAATAGTGTGTTGATTGATAACTGAAGACAAAGTAGTGTGTTGATTACTGAATCAATCTTCAGATAATACAACTGAGAACAAAATAGTGTGTTGATTACTGAGTCAATCTTTAGATAGTACAAATGAGTACAAAATGATGTGTTGATTACCGAATCAATCTTCAAATAATACAACTGAGGACAAAATGGTGTGTTGATTACTGAATCAATCTTCAGGTAATACAACTAAGAACAAAATGGTGTGTTGATTACTGAATCAATCTTCAGATAATACAACTGAGAACAAAGTAGTGTGTTGATTACTGAATCAATCTTCAGATAATACAACTGAGAACAAAGTAGTGTGTTGATTACTGAATCAATCTTCAGATAATACAACTAAGAACAAAATAGTGTGTTGATTACTGAATCAATCTTCAGATAATACAACTAAGAACAGAATAGTGTGTTGATACTGAATCACTTTTCAGATAATACAACTAAGAACAAAATAGTGTGTTGATTACTGAATCAATCTTCAGATAATACAACTGAGGACAAAGTAGTGTGTTGATTACTGAATCACTCTTCAGATAATACAACTGAGGACAAAATAGTGTTGATTACTGACAAGTCAGTGCTTTCTAATTTCACACTCCTCACAGAACGGTTATTCAAATTGATAGCAAGGGTTTGAAGGATATACAACAAATACGCGTTCCCACAAACAGCACACCTTGGACATGGTTATTTTATTTTTAGTTGCAGATTGAAATTTGCACACATAATAAAGTAAGACTGTCTTACTTGTATTTGTCTATTATCCAATATTGAAACCTTGATTTCACTTACCTGACTAATTGCCCTACAGTTAAAAGTAACACTGTCCCCGATCTCGACCTGAACTTCAGTAGGTTCGTCTACAATTACTTGGATCGGTAGACCTTCACCTAAAATTAAATTCAAAATATGGAGAAGTTCAAATTCAATTATCGCAATATTCTACTCTCTTTAGGTAATTGTTCTACAAGAATGGTGTTATCACATTTCAGTTCTCCTAGAAATAACATTACTGTACAAAGCGTGCGTCAGTAATACTGTGGAATACTTTATTTTCACTGGAATTAATTTTCGCTGAAAAAGTTTTTTGGGCGTTTTGTATGGAATTTATTTTCACTGTTTTTTGATGAGTTCAATGTGAAATATAGAAAAAAAGTATATTCGCTGGATTTTATTTTCACGGAATCATCCTTTCAGCGAAAATGCCGAAAATAAATTCCAAGCGAAAATAAAGTATTCTACAGTATATTGTCCGGTATTGTGCTGTATGATTCGCATGGTTTTGCCCGATCTTGCCACTGAAGAGTGTCAGCCATCTTTGCTTTATATTGTACTGGCTTCATTCATTCCTTACTAGGATCAAACTGAGATAATAAACTTACTGATTACGCTGAGTTCTCCTTCTGCTGTACTTTTACCGAAGTTGTTACCAGCAACACATACGTATTTTCCTTCATCACTTGCTTCAATACTACTTATCTGACAAAATAGTTTGCATATTTTATATAATGTATACTGAAAAAGCATTTTTCACTGGCAATTGCACCACTTCAAAGAAACATGAGCATATACATGTATTTAAATTCACAGATTTGATATTAAAACAATTAGCATTATTGTAATTTTATATAAAACATTGAATTATGATTCATTTCGACTACAAACATACCCCTGTCTTTTACATAAGCACACATGTTATTATTAAACAGAGTAAATATGATAAAGATATGATCTCATTTAACACTAATCTAGAAACTCAGTAAAAATTGATTATATATTTGACAGCAATCCAGACTATCAATATTCGCTGTAACTCGTATATTCGACAAAAATCCTAAACTGAATTTGGCTGTAACTAAAAGAAATGGAGTGGAACTCATATGATTACTTTTGCCACCTTACTTTACACAAATACACATTGGGATTGACACAATAATACATACCCTTAAACTATGATCTTGTAATTCTCTAGCCCTCAGTGGTAAAGGTAAATTATCCGCTCTAGACCAGGTCACCAATGTAGTATCGTCACTTACGATACACTGGAATGTAATGGTAGCACCTACCGAATCACTGATCCTGCTTGGATTAACAGTTACTTGGGGTGGGAGTCTGCCCCCTAGAGGTGAATTTTGGAAAAAATAATGGAACGTGTTGACTATGTGTCTTTTAGTAATTTTTATTAATAGTTTTGTGGATTCATGTTTCGTACATTTATTTGACATTACAAGATTGGGACTTGTAACAGTTACCTGTCAGTATTTGCTTTTTTACAACATTTATCTAGGAACAATGCAGAAAAGCTCTGATAGCGAAACTGGAATTTATTCTTAGAATATGTGTTCAAGAGCAGGTTTGAGGTTTGATTTATTTTGACCATAGACACAAATATGTCATTTACATAAGCACATGTGTTTCTAAACTCAGAATCTACTTAGTTTACAAACACAAGCCAGTGTAGTATGTTTACCGTATTTATCCGGGTATAAGCCCAGGGTCTTGAACATGGAAAATTGCCAAAAAGAAGGGGTGGGCGTTTGCCAGGAGATCCCCGGCAAAAAAAACGAAAATTCGCGAAAATTGTCAACACGCAGATCGAACTGCGGCAAGGAATTGAACGGCAAATGAAAACATGCAACGGAAATAAATGAACAATATGCAACATTAGAAGTAAAACAAAAATAATGTATTGCTTATAATGTGACAAATAAACCAGAAATAATAAAAATCGACACTGAGAAATCATTTGAATTAGGATTTTCCCGCCGACAAACACGCCCAATACGCGTGAACTCAAAATGAATTTAAATGTCAGGTGTTAAACTGCGTAAAATGATTTCCGGTCTCGACAAATTACGAATCAACCGTCATGCAAGATCAATAATAATTTACAAATTTACACAGTAAAAATTATAAAAATTCATCGCTGTTTGAAAAAAACTTCTCAGATCTTTATTTGTACGTTCTTTGT